ACTTTTGTAACCTTACCAAAAAAGGCAAATGCAAAACAGTGCACTGACTACCGCACTATAAGCTTAATGGGGCATACATTAAAAGTATTCATCAAAGTAATCCACTCAAGAATTAACAGAAAACTAGATGCAGATATTAGTAATACTCAATTCGGATTTCGGAACGGGCTTGGAACAAGAGAAGCACTATTTTCACTTAACGTCATATGCCAAAGATGTCTAGATATAAACCAAGATATATATATATATATATATATATATATAAGAAATACTGGATATTATTGACTGTCGATATAAACAAACAACACAGTTTATTAGGGTTGCAGTCAGAAATATTGGCCGGGATGTTAAAAAACACTCTTTTGACTTTTTGTCGAGCTTTCGGAATGGTTTTATTCCTTTTTCAAGACACTGCAAAAGACAATTATGTAAATATTTAAAAAATATCACAATTCTTCAGTGTAACTTACTAGTCGTTGAGATTATTTTTGAAAGCATTGAACACTCAACATTTATACTAAAATATACAACACAAAATATACCACACACATTAAAATATACAATTGTGGACAAAATACATCATAAAATCTTTAAAAATATTTGTTGGAAAAATAGTAAAGCCCGATTGATGGCATGTTTTACTGGTGTACACCAGTAAAACATGCCATCAATCGGGCTTTACTATTTTTCCAACAAATATTTTTAAAGATTTTATGATGTATTTTGTCCACAATTGTATATTTTAATGTGTGTGGTATATTTTGTGTTGTATATTTTAGTATAAATGTTGAGTGTTCAATGCTTTCAAAAATAATCTCAACGACTAGTAAGTTACACTGAAGAATTGTGATATTTTTTAAATATTTACATAATTGTCTTTTGCAGTGTCTTGAAAAAGGAATAAAACCATTCCGAAAGCTCGACAAAAAGTCAAAAGAGTGTTTTTTAACATCCCGGCCAATATTTCTGACTGCAACCCTAATAAACTGTGTTGTTTGTATATATATATATATATATATATATATATATATATATATATATATATATATGTGCTTAGATATATATATATTATATATATAATATATATATATATGTATATATATATATATATATATATATATATATATATATATATATGTTACGAGCAAAGCCCGAAATTGGGCAATCCTAGCATTGTACGGAAATTATTGTCCACTTCTAGCATTGTACCCCCAAACTGTACAATGTCCGAAATGATCAAATTTAAAAATGATTATCGAGACGCTTATCGATTCGACTCGATTATTATTAACGATACGTCAAATCAAATCAAAAATCGATGACGATACATCAAATCAAAAATCGAACATTTCTTGTTAATTATTTGATAATTTTTATTTTCTATTTTACATACAAAGTTGTACTTTTTTGAATCGACAACGTTATAAAATGCTGTGTCAAACTAAAATATAAATAAGAAGAAATTGTTCTGCCATAGAGTGATAGATAAAAGCACATAAAAGTAGGTATATAAAAAGTTCCATTGAAGAAATGAAGGAAAGTTTTGTATTTGGCAGTGTTGTCATGTCGTTTTAATAAATCGCGAAAGAGCATGTGATATAATATTAATTAATTTTATTAAACATTATTTTTAAGTTTATAAATGAAGTTTAATTAAATTTAATTTAATATATTTCAAGTTCCAGCAACTAACTAATAGATTAATTTAGGATTTATATCATAATTGATGTTTGTCTTTAATATCAAATGGGGAATAATCATAAAAATAATCGATATCTGTCATATTCTTCCAAACTTTGACGCATTGCTACTTATCGACTTATTGAAATTCGATTGCAATTCCTTTATACAAAGTCCGACGATTATGTCTATTTCGGAGATTGTACAATAAAGGCGTACAATGCTAGAAGTGGACAAGATTTTCCGTACAATGTTAGGATTGTCCAATTTCGGACATTGCTCGTAACATATATATATATATATATATATATATATATATATATATATATATATATATATATATGTGCTTTATTGATTACAACAAAGCGTTTGATAAAGTTCGTCACGATTACTTAATGAAACTGCTAGTAGAAAAAAACTTAGATAAAAGGGACATTAGAATTATCTCTAAGATTTACTATAACCAGAAAGCAAATATCCGAATAGAGCAAGAGACAACGGAGGAAATCGAGATCAAGAAAGGCGTAAGACAGGGTTGTATACTCTCACCGACCTTATTCAATCTATACTCCGAAGACATTATAAACACAGCACTTTCGGATCAAAATATAGGTATTAAGATAAATGGCATCCGAATGAACAACTTGAGATATGCCGATGACACGGTACTAATCGCAGAAACTTGGGAAGATCTTCCAATACTAATTAACAAAATAGTAGAATGCAGTGAAGAACACGGATTATCACTTAACATAAGCAAAACAAAAATAATGCTAATATCTAAATCACCACAAAACTTCCCTGACATAACCGTGCATGATCAAAGAATCGAACGTGTAAGAAGATATAATTACCTGGGAACTGTTATCAACGAAAATAATGATTGGTCTGAAGAAATCAGAACCAGAATAGAGAAAGCTAGAGCCACATTTACTAAATTGAAAAAGGTGTTCAGCGGAAGAGATCTAAGTCTAAAACTTAAAATTCGCCTTTTGAGATGTTACGTTATGTCAGTTCTCCTCTACGGGATGGAAACATGGACATTGAAATAGATCAATACCAAAAAGATAGAAGTATTTGAGTTGTGGATGTATCGTAGAATATTAAGAATACCCTGGACAGAGAAAGTAACAAATGTGGAGGTTTTGCGGAAAGTGCGGAAAGAGAAAGAGCTGATACTTACTGTTAAAAAGCGCAAACTACAATATTTGGGACATGTTATGAGGGGAGATAAAGACCAGTTGCTGCAATTGATTATACAGGGAAAGATAATGGGAAAGAGATCTATAGGAAGCAGAAGGCATTCATGGTTGAAAAACTTGAGAGAATGGTACAATTGCACCAATTACCAACTGTTTAGATCTGCAGCATCAAAAATACGCATAGCTTTGATGATAGCCAAACTTCGGAACGAAGACGGCACTTGAAGAAGAAGAATTATAGGCATACTATACAACTATATCAACATTGTTAAATATAATAACATATATATAATGTAATTAAACATAAATATAAATAATTACATAACCTCACAAATCATATGTCTGTGTTATGTGTTTCCTTCTAAAACATGGCGCGCGTGCTGAAAAACTTCAAAGGCGGCATCTGAGAGTGGGCATTCTGATTGTTTATTATTCTGTGGCTTAATACTGATAGGACAGTTTTTGTCTACTTTAGAACCAGCCAGTCACGAGAACGGTTTCTAGATATAATTAATTTTCTATCACAAAACACGGAACCTGCTAGATCAGTTAAATTTCTTGGTATTCATATTGACCAGAATCTAAATTGGGAGGAACAAATACAAAATACAACAAAAGAACTGAATAGAGCATGCTACTCATTAAGAATGATAAAGAGCTATCTAGACCAGAGAATTTACCAGAAAATCTACTGCAGTAGATAGCTCAACTGTCTTTATAGTCCAAAAAAAGGCAGTCCGGTTGATCTTAGGACTAAAATCCTGTCTCAATATACTTACTTTCTCAGCCAGCTATATATTTGAATGTATTATGTTCCTTTTAAAAAAATTTTCTTTGTTTTATCACCTGCTTCCCAATCATGAATATAATACAAAAAGCCTTAATTTGAATTTGCTACTTCACAGATTGTCTATAACAGAGAGAAGTCCTTGGTATGCGTGTGTTAAATTTTATAATAGTCTACCGTCTGACATTCAACAGGAAACATACTATAGAGCTTTTAAAGGAAAGGTTTTTCAACACCTAGTTGACATTGAGCCCTATACTGTAGCGGAGTGCCTGGCCTATGCTTCTCCTTGATCAGGATATTTAATTTGTAATGTTAATATATTTTAAATGTGTAATGTCAACATGGATTACAATGCCTTTTAAACGCCATTGATACAGTGGGAAGAGAGTTTGGCCTAAACATAAACTGTTCAAAAACAAAACACATGGTGTTTAGCCGTTTAGCACATCAAGGTGCACGATTATATGTTGATGGTCATATAATTCAAAGAGTGTCCAGTTTTAAATATTTTGGTTGCCATATTACTGAACAACTAGATCCAGATCAAGAGATAAAATGTAGAATCGGAATAGCCCGCACGACATTTTTAAAAATGAGGTCATTCTTCTGTAATGATAACTTGAAACTTCAACTTCGAAAGCGTATGGTTAAATGCTACATTTGGTCAGTCCTCTTATACGGTGTCGAAGCATGGACATTAAAAATATCAACCATTAATCGTCTGGAGGCCTTTGAAATGTGGCTGCACAGACGTATAATAAAAATTCCATGCTGACAAATGTGGCAGTCCTTGAGAGAGCAAATGCTGCTCTCAAGCTGCTTGATAACATCAAATGTAGAAAGATGGCCTATTTTGGACACGTAGTAAGGGGAGACCGATATAATATTCGCCAACTTATTATGATGGGTAAAATCGAAGGACGCAGAGGAATTGGTAGAAAGCAGGCCTCTTGGTTGAAGAATATCAGAGAGTGGACAGAAATAAAGAAAGCTGGTGAACTCTTTAGAATAGCTCGAGACAGAGACAGTTTCGCCATGTTAATCACCAACGTCAAGGGGACTTGATAGGGCACGTTAAGAAGAAGATGTCAATATATATTTTTTTAATCTGTAATTAATAATGTGACGTTATTTGCTCAATTATGTTTAAAAATTTATGCAAATAAAAATTTACTCTACTCTACTCTATACTTAGGGGGGCGAAGCTATTTCGGAGTACAGTAAATCTACAAAAATTTAAAAAATGTTTTAGCTCCTTTAAGCCTATATGTCTATAAATGAGTCGTATAGAATATTTTTTACGTTATAACTTTATATTTTATACTTACGAAAGGTGGTAAAAGTGACTGTACAACAAATGAAATGGGATTTTCGGAATTTCCAATTAGATTTAAAATTTGCTCGTTACTAGCTTCCTTCAAGTCAACTCCATTTATTTCCAATATTCTGTCGCCTGTCTAACAAAACAATAAATTATAAGTTCTTTTAGAAATTTTTTACTATTTGCCATATACATGCACAAATACAATTCAATATAATGAAACTTAACGAATCATTATTACTTAAATTTTATCTAGTTAAAGCGCTGTTTCAAATTTAAAATCTAGTCAAATTTAAACAAAAAATTAAATGCAATATATTGATCTAGGAAATGTGCGGGCTTGAAAAAGTTATAACTTTCAACCGGGTTGACAGAACACTAGTGTCACAAGCCCACAGGGCTAAATGAAACTCTTTCGAGTGAAACATCAGCCTCCATCTAGTCAATACCATACTGAATGGTGAATAGCCATGGGGTATCAATGTTAAAATGCATAGGGTATCCCTGTTATCTAACGAGTCTGTTACTTTAATAATCCTTAAATGTTTTTAAATCAAATTTTTAAAATCAAACCCTCTTAAGTTGGTATTAAACAGCGACACCAAGCGTTCAGGTTTGCAACCATAGTTTAACTGGTTCAAAGCTAGCGACTACCGATCACTTCTGTTTCGCCGTTCGTGAAAGGCACTTAAGTTTAAAGGTAAGAGAGAGAGGCAGCTTACAAAAGGTTTTTTCTAAGTTTAAAGTTTTTATTTATGGAGAAGAAGTAGTAGAGAAGTTGTAGTTTGGGGCTTTTTTAATAAGTGTCTTGTTTGTTTTAAAGCCACCTTGATCTGCCCACCCTTGGGAGTCAAACAGTCGGGGAAGAATTTGTTGCTTTTGTTTTTTTTTGGAATAACTTTAAAGAAGAAGGATTAAGTTGAAACCTAGTCCGGTTACACCTGGTTCCAGGCCTGTTTTTTTCTTGCCGTAGCTGCTCCCCAGAGGTCCAGATCTAACCTTCTGATTGCCGGACAATTTTTAAGAAATCAGCGGGAATTATCTCCCTTTAAAATATAGTAAACCTGGATTAAGTTTATTGATTAGCTTTAATTTTTTTTATATATAATATTTTTTGTTTTGAACGTTTAATCATACTATTTTTACTTAATAATATAAAAAAACCATCATTTTATTTTCCTGAAATAATACTTAATTATATTTAGAGACTAAGTAGGTTGAGGTCTTAAATCCTCCTGTTTAACTCATTTGTATGGTTTCTTGTGTACACTTTTAAGCAGAGAGTTATTTATAAAGATTTTATTTTTATTACATATTTAAACCTTTGGACTTTTATCCCTTCAGGATATTGTCCTTATTACTTGTTAAACCATTAAAACTTTTCCTATATCTTATTTGTAAATTTAGATCAATTATCATTATCATTAAATTTATTCTTATATTTTATAATTTATAAATTTTTAGGGTATTTATATTCTTTTTGTATATAAGTAACTAGATTAACTGTACATAATTGGTGGTGGGTATTTTAAGATAAATTTAGACCGTATATATTTGGTTAGGGCTTAAATTTTTGGTGAAAACTAAATATTTCAATTAATACCTGTTTCCCTCTTTATTTTAGCAAACAGCTTTACAAGATACCTTGGAAAGTTTATGTAAATACTTTCCTGGCGGTCACTCACATTTAGGAGCAACTTCTATAATCACTTTTATTTACATTAGTTATATACCTATTATCTTTATTATCTTGTCATTCATTTTCTTATTCTACGGTCTCTGTAGGGCATGCAAATTGGCCGAATTCTCTTTTGAGTGTTAAGTAGATACTCTCCGGCACCTTCCGCTGGACAGCTTTATATTATATGTTATCTTTTATATTACACATATACACCAAATTTTCTACCAAGTAACCAAAAACAAAATTTGATTAAATTATTAATGTTCTGTATTCAGAGAAAGATTTCCGAAGTAGAAATCAAAACGTCAAAAATAAACTTATTATAAACTTAAATTGTGGCTTATACCCCAAAATATAGGAAATGACAAATACTTCTGTTTTACATTCAAACTTAAATACTACTAAAAAAATAAAAAAAATTGTTTTTAAACAAATTAGGTGGTTTATTTGACAATTTATTAAAGTTTTTTTAATTTATTTAATTTATTTAAAATTTTTTCTATTAAAAGTACATACAAGTTCAAAAAGAAACGTTGAAATACATAAAAAAGGAACAGAGATACAGTTAACAGCGCCTTCCTCCTCCCTTCCGCTCCCGAGAGTTTCAAAGCCGACCAATTTTACATACATTTTGAAGCTTTGTTGACGATTCTATTAAAGGGCAATATTTTTAAAATTCAGTACTTTAAAACTATAAAGTATATTCTTTCAAATAGCGCTAATTAGATTTCTTAAGTGTTATAAACAAAGATGCTATGAATTAAATAGAAAAAGAGGCTAACTTTGTACCAAATTATTTTAGGACAAACTTTTTATCTAAATTTGTGAAAAAATTTAGGCTTTTTAAATATATAAAAATAATATTTTTACAGTTAATGGTTAAAAAGTTATTCTGATTGTTTATAAGCAAAAAATCGACATGTTTTTGCAAAATTATTTTGCAATATTTAAAATAAATTTTCTTAATTTTTTTTAATGTAAATAATCAAACCAGTCTTCTTCTACCAGAAACTACCCTAATATTTAATAAAACTTTATTAATTTCTGACTTATATTGTTGCAAAAAATGGTAATTTGGGATAAACAAATAAAATAACTTTTAAACTATTGAACCAATCACTTTGAAATTTGAACGCTATTTTAAGCACAGCAAGATACAAAACAACTGTCGTTTGCCTGGCCGGACGAGTGTCAAAAACAGGGTACTTTTTTTGCTTATTTCCCTGGCCTAAAGGTTCTAAAATGTACAAGACTAAAAACAAAAAAATATTGTAAAATGTATAAAAAAACTATAAATAAAATGTAAAATAAAAAATAATATAATAAAATATATTAACTCTTAAAGCTGTAACATATGTCAACTTTAACTTTTTCCAATGTACGCCCATGTAAACATAATTGTATATTAATGACAGTAAGCAATGTGTGAGATATCATATATTAATTTTTATTCTCTGTCAATTAATGTGTCTTGCTTTACGTTTTTTTATATTTTACAATAACTCTTTGTTCACAATCCAGTACATTTTAGAATCTTGACAAAGGCAAGGATAACCTTAAAAAATCTAGTTCCAAATTTAAGGTTTGTCGGTCTGATGTAAATAAAACTATTTAAATTTTGCTTAAACGTTTCGGCAAATTTGCCATTTTCAATAAGCACCTTATTTTATTTTATAAACATATTTTACAATTAAATTTCATGTTTACACTTTTCTAAAAAGTTTAACATGGATTAAAAAATTGGTATGTGATATTGACAGATGACATCTGGCAGGTATCTTGAAATAGGAGTGGTTCAGGGTCGTACCTTAAATATATACCATAGTGCATTTAAAACAACAACTTAATTTATTAAATTATGATACATATTGGAAAGATCTTTGATGTCAGTCTTATTATTAATAGATTTTGGATCTTCTTTATGTCAATCATCTCCAATATGCTTTTTTTGTTCTTTTTTCAAAATCTGTAAATTTTCAAAATCAAAATAATGGCTATTTGCTAGAGAATATATGGCTGGGGCTGCTGTGTTTAATGAATTGGTCACTATGTTTGTGTGCAACTCTTCTATGTAGGTGTTGGTGTTTTTGCCCAATATATGTTGAATTACAATGTATTTAATGAATCTTTACAATGTATTTTATAAATAACGTTTGATTGATGGTCTTAATTAACTTTAAGTTTAAATTTTAAAAAATATTTTCCAGATGTTTTTGATGATTTATGTCCAACATTGTTATTATACTTTGCAAACAGTTTTGAAATTTGTTCAGAAAATTCATGAATGTATGGTAAGACGGACATCAGGCCGACAAACATATACAGTGTAGGAAAAAGTTTATAGTCGGTATGGACCTTACGTGAGATGGAGTGAGAAACAGCTGTTTAAAAAGAGAGATATATTAGGTCCGCCCTTTATATCGCCGAACATGCATGCGTGGAAATAGTAAAAAAGGGGAAGTTCAACGTTGCCAAACTTATTGGTTTTATTTGACCTGTTGTCTTTTTTGTATTTGAATAATGTTCTAAGATAATCAAATTTGGGCGAAATTGATTTAAATGGCAGCTTACTGTTTTTTATTGGGAATATGCCACAAGTTTACTTTACAGTAAGTGTAATATAACATTTTGATTTCCATTTCGGAAATCATTTTATATAAATAAAATTTATTATTGTTTCCTATTTTAAGACGATTTCCGAATTAAAAATCTAAACATCAAAATAAGCTTAGTTTAAAGTCACATTGTGCCTTATTCCCAATATGAAATAATAAACTGCATACAATAACGTCACATTAAAAAATCTTCATACACAATAATTATTTGGCAATGTCTGTCTGGTCAAAACACCGAGTAACGAGTAGTAGAGGTGGGTCGTGATAGTTTTATCGTTAAGAGCGTAGGCGCAAAATTTCGGGCCAATGTTTTTTAAATGCATTCATTTTTGTCAAATCCTGAGAAAACTAATAAATATTTTTGAAAAATATAAACGCAGAATGAAACAGTACATTATTACCGAGGGCAGAAAGTACCTGAAAACTTCTATAATGTTTATTTTAATAAGTGATAGGGGTGAAAAAGAAAAAAAAATTAGTGTGATTTTTAATTTCAAATATCTCATTCAAAAAACTTTTCATTCTGCATTTGGATTTTTCAAAAATATTTGTTAGTTTTCTCAGGATTCCAAAAAAAATGAATGCATTTAAAAATTTAAATTTTCGTAAAATAGTAACTATGATTGTTTAAAAGTAGTTTCAAGTAAGGGAGTACCTACATAAACAAATATAATGGTTATTATCGTTTATGTGTATAGTTATTGAATTGAAATAAACTAATGATATATTTATTATAACTTGAAAAATAAACTAAACAATACAAATAGTAAATCGTACTTACATTTACATTACACGTTATTATTAAATCGCGAATCGTCTAAATTGACATTAAAAAACATAAGTTTTTCTACTTTACTTTTTGTTAACCGTGTTCTCTTTTTATTTAAAATTAAACCAGATTTTGAACATGTGTTCACATTTACAATACTTTATGAACATAGTGGTTAAGTTAGGATATACTTACATGGCGATGGTTTTTCCACCGTTGTAATGGACTCTTGATACAGTTATACGTGTAGATAAGACATCTCCAATTAATTGATCAAAAATACACCATGGACTTAAGTCATCTTTATCGGTTTCTTTTTCTTGTACTGGTTGATTTTCAATAGTACAATCCTCTTGATCGTTAATTATAGAAGTAACCAGCTTCTTAACTTTTTCTTTTGTTTTTTTAGCTTCATTTTTATCAGAAAAACCCTGCACTTTAAATCGTGAATCCGTAAATGTACATAATGACAATGTGCCACTCTGTTCTATTCCTCTAAATCTTTTTGCTAAACCCGATATTAGTAATTGTACTACGTCGGATACTATGGATGTAAGGTTACCGTTTGCTAAAATTTTATTGCAAGATTCTTGCAGGCAGCGTACTATAACAATCACTGAACTACCCTTCAAGTATTTTTGTCCACTCATTGTACTTGTTATTTCTTTAAACGGCCGTAAAATTTGGAAAAGTTAAGAACAAATTATCCAGTGCTCTTTATTTAGATTTGGTCTAATAGCCCAGGGAAATAAGCATTTTTTCATGACACTCGTCCGGCCAGGCAACCGACAGTTGTTTTGAGTAGTATGAACCTCTGTAACAAAAACCTATATGTTTCCTGCAGTGGATTTTTTGGACTTAATTAGTTATTAACAAATTAAGGTCAAAAAACGGAAAATTTTTGCTTTTGTCGTCTATCAGCAAAAAGTGAAGCATTTTAAACAAATTATAGAAGAGAAAAAAAAAGTCATATAAAAACCTTTAAAATGGCGTTTTCAAAATGTTTCTATCCTTATTTGTTGCTTAGGAAATTGCAAAATAAGTCTTAAATTTCGGTTTTTTATAAATGTTAATAACTTTTTTTAACATAAACGTATAACGTTTATATTTCATGGAGTGCTGTATCTTATAGTGTTTAAAATATGGTCAAAAGTGATCGGTTAAATAGTTTAAAAGATATTGTATTTGTTTATCCCAAATTAAGTTTTTTTTGCAACAATATAAGTCAGAAAATTATAAAGTTTAAGTAATTATAAGGGTAGTTTCTGGTAGAAGAAGACTTCTTCTATTATTTACATTAAAAAAAAATAGGAAAATTAATTTTTAATATTGCAAAATAATTTTGCAAAAACATGTCGATTTTTTGCTTATAAACAATTAGAATAACTTTTTAACCATTGCCTGTAAGAATATTATTTTTTTATATTCAAAAAGCCTAAATTGTTTCACAAATTTAAAAGAAAAAATCTTTGTCCTAAAATAATTTGGGACAAAGTTATCATCTTTTTTTATTTAATACATAGCAGCTTTGTTTATAACAATTAAGAAATCTAGTTAGCTGTATTTAAAAGAATATACTTTATAGTTTTAACGTACCAAATTCTAAAAAGATTGCCTTTCAATGAAATCATCCACAAAGCTTCAAAATGTGGTTCCTAAAATCGGCTGGCTTCGAAAATCACGGGAGCCTTAGGGAGGGGGAAGGACCTGTTAGCTGTATCTCCGGTTCTTGTTTATGGATTTCACCGCTCATTTTTTTAATTTGTATGTACTGTTTGCGTATATTACGAATGTGCATCAGTTCAATAGATAAATTGTTCAATAAACTATCTACTTTGTTTAAATATTTTTTTTTATTTTTATTGTAATATTTGAGATAATTTTTATTTGAAAACATAAATATTTATGATTAATTCATACTTCTTTATTAAAATTGTAAATAATTTATTTATAAAAGATTTTATGAAAACAACAAAATAACCTATTCAATTGTTTCTTAAAATAATATTGCTTTGGAAATAAAAAATCTTAAATAAACTAGGTTATATTTGCTATAATAAAAAATGGTATAAAACAAACTAAAGATAAATTATTTGCAGAACATTTTTCAATATATTTTTTTTATTGTATTACAAAATATAGTATAGAGAAATATAACGTGTTATATAGTTATATATATATATATATATATATATATATATATATATATATATATATATATATATATATATAACTATATAACATATATATATATATATATATATATATATATATATATATATATATATATGTATATATATAATATATATATATAATATATATATATATATATATATATATATATATAAAATGTGTATACATTCATCATTTATAAGTTATACAAACAATAATAACATCGTAGTTTTAACATTTTAAGTTTATAATAAGTTTATTTTTGACGTTTCGAGTTCTACTTCGGAAATCTTTCTAAAAATACAGACAATTAATAAATTAATCAAATTTTGTTTTTGATTACTTGGTAGAAAATTTTTCTAATAACTTAATTTTATCTGACTCATTCATATAGACAATTCAGACTTATATATAGGTATATATAGGTATATATATATATATATATATATATATATATATAATATATATATATATATATATAGGTATATATATATATATATACATATATATATATATATATATATATATATATATATATATATATATATATATATAATATAAAAAGAGAATTTTACTGTCATCATTGCATGCGGTATTTTTAAACACAAGTCACTTATTCCCATCAAAAAAAGTAAGAACTAAGTTCTGTGAAATATATTTGAGAACATTGTTTCAGCTCGAATGAATTAACTAAAGTAGAATCGTTATGTTTAATTTGTGACAAGGGTATAACACCTGAAACCATTATAGTTGTCAAAAAAAGAGGAATCCAATCGTTTATTAAAGCCAGTCAACAAAGAAAGGATAAGAAACATCTTCTATTTGAAAATTTGGAAAATGTTGAGGTGCACAAAACTTGTCAAAGTTCTTACATACGCTCGTGTAACGTTCAAGTAGCTGCTAAAAATGTTTCACAGGCTTACGTTGGGCGCAGAAAGGAAATAGCTGTGGGAAGAAAATTTAATTTTTCTGAAAGTTGCTTTTATTGTGGTGAGAGAGTTAGAGTAAAAGATACTTCTACTTATAGAATAGTTAAAAAGAAAAGTACAGTCAATAATGTTTTTGATAAATTAAAAAGTCAGTCTAAAGAGTATTCTAAAGCAATAGATGCACGTCTGCGTAATTTGCGTAATGTAAGCAATCAATACTTTTTAGAAAATAATGTTGTATATCATAAATCATGTCAGAATGAATTTTATCATTATAAACCTATAAATATGATAGACAATAATTTGAGTGATAATATGAATGCTATTTTGGAATTCGCTATTAACTATATTTTGGACAATGAAAGTATTTCGCAATTTTCTTTAAAAGGTATTATTAATAAGTTTAAAGTTCAGACAAATATTGTTAATTATGAACAACCTAGGATAGATCGTATAGTATGTCAATTAGAAAATCATTTTGGGGATGAAATTATGGTTCATATAGCAGAAAAATCCCGTGATTATTTTATTTGCTACCGCGATACTTTAGGAAAAGTTTTAGAAGATTCGTGGTACGCGGCACGCGAAAAAGACAACATAAAAGATCGCAAGAGGATTGTGGAAATGGCAGGTCATATTATATTGCAAGATATCAGAACGCATCAACAACTTGACATGGATGAATATATAATTCTCCAAGCAACTTTTTAGATGGCATTGACAACGTTCCGAAAACATTGAAAAAACTTGTAGATATTATTGTAAAAACGCATATAAACCCAAATGAAATAAGAGAGATGAAATTAGACAATCAAGTACTTACTTTCTCGCATTTACTTGTGTCTGCTGCGAGACCAAAATGCTTTAAGTCGAATATTAAGTTAGGTTTATCAGCTTTAATTCATCGTAAATATGGTATCAAAGAACTCATTATTCTGCTCAGCAATATTGGTTTATGTGCTTCGTATAAGGATGTTGAACAATTTGAAAATTCTGTTCTTCATGACCCCGAAAATTTTAATATTTTACCTGATGCATATTTACAATTTGTTTTTGATAATGCAGACCATAATACCGCTACAGTTGATGGACATAATACATTCCATGCAATGGGTGGTATAATGAGTGTTACTCCCGGAGAGTCAGTTACATCCGAAAAAAAAAATAGCAAAAATAAAAAAGACTTTATTAAATGTAACAAATAAAAAATTTGGTTTTATTCCTGTAAAACAATGTTATATACAAAAAAAGCGCTGGATTGGATAAAATGGTATACAGCGATCAGTTAATGAAGATTGGAACGAAGACAGTATTATTGATCCTAGTATTGCGGAAGACGAAAACCAAGTGGACAAAGCAGCTGTGAATATGGACATTGAAACACAGCTTGAAGTTAAGGTTAATTTAGTTGCTGAAAATAAAAATAATAAATTCGAATTAGAAGCATAAAAAAAATTAAAGCAATACAAAAAAAGCGCTTAAAAAATTAAGAATCAAATTCACTGAGTTTTTATGGTGTTTTACTAAAAAAACAAATAAAAATACTCAGGGTTGGTTTGGATTCATGGAGAAATACTATGAATTTAAAGATACTTACGAAATTTCTAAAGTAATTCCACTACCGTTTGTAAATGCTGCTCCAAGCGACTACAGTACAATATTTACAGTATTAATCGAAGCTGCAAGTAGAGCTAAAGCACATAATCAAAAACATGTATGTGTAACGTTTGAGCAACCTTTGTATTGGAAAGCGCGAAATATTCTTGCTTCGATTACAAATGATAATGACCCACACAATTTAAAATCGATAATACTTGTAATAGGCGGGTTTCATGCCCTTATGTCCTATTTAGGAAGTATCGGTTTTATTATGGAAGGAAGCGGAATAAAAGAAGCTATTTCGACAATTTATGCCGAAGGTTCAGGTGAAAAAGTACTAACCGGCCATGCATACGCAAGAGCTGTTCGCGCACATATTCTTTTATATCTCGCTTTAGCTAATATTATTTTTGAAAATGTCGGAATTTACAGATGCCGAGAATAAAGTTCTGGAAGAATCTAGAAAAAATTTAGGTATTATTCCAGTGGATAGTTTGAATGACAGTACATGGTCTAATATTATAGATAAATTTGAATTGACTGTAACAAATATAGAAGAACGTGGGCCCACAAGCAAGATATAGGTGCAATATTTTAGAATGGTCACAATTATGCTCCACTTTATTAATTCACAACGTTGCGGAAACTGGGATCCTAACCTCCACTGTCTCGAATTAATGTTGCCCTTTTTCCATGCGTCTGGCCATCATTTATTTGCGAAAAGCACGCATATTTTTTTACAGGATATGCGAAAGCTTAAGCAAAGTATAGATCCAAGGGAATTTAAAATTTTAACATCAAAAGGATATTTCACAAGGCGATCAAATAAATATTGGTCTGGAATATGGTCAGACATGGGAATTGAACAGGTTTTAATGCGTTCAATGAAGTGTGTAGGCGGCTTAACGCATGGTCGAGGCTTAACAGAAGCAGTAATAGCAAAATGGATA